AAGCGGGGGGACGCCGAGGGGGAGGCAGGGAGGGGTGGGCGGCCTCTTCTCTGCTCCTTGGGTAGCTCAGAGGCTGGCTCCCCGCACCTCGGCGTCCAGACTTAACTCCTTCCCCTCCCTGCTCTGCTCAGAGGTGTGGCTTACGTGTCGGTGAATCCCCCCACAACCTGCGTAGCTCCCCATATCCTCGGGGGACATCCCCTGCCTTAGCCCTGTGGCCCTGCTGATCCCCACCACAGACGCAGCAAACTGTCCTGGTGGGCTCAGGAGAAACCTCCGGTGAACACAGCCTGCCGGGAGTGCCAACAGAGAGTGTTTCTCGAAGTCCCACACAGTCCTACCTTCAGGAAAGCCTGTGGGATAAGACTAACTTTCGTCCCCTCCGAGAAGTGTTTTAAGCCAGTGATTCTCAAGCTGTGATCTCAGAACCGCTGCACTGCCTTCCTGAGTTCACCTAGAAATGCACATTCGCCAGCACCATCCAGGACATCCGAACTGCAAATTGAAAGTCGGTCCCATCATGCTTGTCTTCAACAGATTGTTCGGGTGATTCTTATGCTGCCGGAGTTTAAGGACCACTTACCTAAAACATTAGAGCTTTGTGGAATCTGAAATGGTGGTGGAGACAGGTAGGTGTCCTGTGGTTTAAATGCATTACTCCATTTAATCTTCACAACCCTGTGCAGTAGGTAACATTAGCCCCGTTTGACAGATGATTCCAACCCTCCAGAACATTCCCACGTAGGCGAGGTCCCCTGTGAAGCTGGGGAGGTGACGCCCAGGGGCACTGAGGCCTCCCTGCCAGGCAGGGTCCATTGGTTCCAGATTTGTATCCCACCTGTGCATGGTCAGGAACGGCCATGCTGGCCCTTGGGTGAGCACCAGTCTGTATGAAGTGCTGGGACCAGGCCCCAGGGCAGGATGTGCTGGCACTGGGTGCCGCGTGGGCGCTCCCTTCAGAGGCCTGGGTTTGAGGCCAGCCTTGTGGGGTGACCAGGTGATAGTGTCATTTTCCTATTCAGTCTTCTGGGGCCAGACACCCCTCCCCTTGTGTGGGCAGTTGGGAGGGGAGGGTTGGTGGCCTCACAGACTCAGGTGTGACTCTGACTGTTGGCCTGCCCAGCCTGGCCCCTCAAAGCCTGCTTGCATGGGGAGGGTCTCTGCCCGCTGTCTTACGGCAGCTTTCTCAGCTCCACACTGCTGGCATTTGGGACTGGGCAGCTCTTTGTTTTGAGAGGCTGTCCTGCAGCACCCCCAGCCCCCAGTTATGCCAACCAAAAATGCCTGCAGACATTGCCGCATGTCCCCTGGGGAGTCTCTCCTTGACCACCAGCCTCACTCCTCCCGTGGGCAAATGGACAAGAGGTTTCCCGTGCCCACAGCTCCCTCTCCTGATAGGAGCCAGCTTCAGGCTGTCCTTGAGGACCTGGCTGTTCATCTGCCCTAGTTATTTTTTTTGAGTTGGCATCACATTCTATCGCCCTGGCTGGATTGCAGTGGTATGATCACAACTCACCACAGCCTTGACCTCCTGGGCTCAGGCGGTCCTTCTGTCTCAGCCTTCCAAGTAGCTGGGACTATAGGCATCTGCCGCCATGCCTGCCTAATTCTTTTGACTTTTTTGTAGAGATGAGGTCTCACTGTGTGCCCAGGCTGGTCTCGAACTCCTGGGTTCAAGCAGTCCTCCCCCTCAGCCTCCCAAAGTGCTGGGTTTACAGGCATGAGCCACTGCACCTGGCCTGAACTAGCTTTTAATGACACAGTGGCATTTGAGCACGTTATCCTTACTGAAGACTCCCAACATTCCGATGAGGCTGAGGGTCCTTTACCATGCTCGTCTCCCATGGCATAAGGGGCAGAGAGGGGTGGGAATGACTGTGAGGTGCTGATGACGGCTAGGCCCTTGTGCCCAGTGGGTCACCCTGGCCAGGCCTTTGTCTGGCACCACACAGTCACGGTGGAGCCCAGGACGGCGCAGGGCCAGGGCCTGGACCACCTGCTCCTGACTCCGTGCACAATCCTCGCTCGGGGCTCTCCTGGAACTGTCTCGGTGCTGAACCCATAGCTCTCTGCCTCGAGCAGCCTTGAGGCAGACAGCAGTTTCATGTTTGCCGTTGCTGTCCAAGCACAGTGGCTGTGTGTTCAGGCCAGCCTCCTTGGGCATGCGTGTGAGTGACTCGCTGTAACTGCTGCTGTGTGGGG